ACCCTGCAACACACACTGCGCTCGCTCTCTGGTTCCCAACACTGTGTTCTACATCGTATTTCTGGGATGTTACGGCTTTTTGGCGTTTAGTTATGTTCTCAAAGTTTATTTTAACTATTATTTTTTTTGTTTGTCTTTGCACCGTCATGGTATTTCATAATCCACTCTGGAATGTAACTTCAATCTAAAAAAATGCAGTTTTTGAAATTTTAAAGAACCTCCTAAAAATAAACTATAGTAACTAAAAGAAATAATTTTGTCGATTAGAGAATCCTTGAAACAATGATAGATTTCTAGTCACAAATCAAAATAAAAATCAATATTATCAACGTAAAGACTTGTCAAATTGTGCTTGTGAAGAAGAATGCATTCAAGAAATACTGATCAAAGTACGGTTACATTGCCTTCTCGACAGAGATAATAAATCAAGTATATTGAGAATTTTCGAAAACGAAAATAGCAGTATTGTAATTTAAAATAGAGATAAAAGTTAAATTTTGTTATTGACGGTTTGTCAAATTTGTCAAAATTGTTTTTCCTTCTAGTACTTCTATTCATGCTTGTTTTATCTAAATATTTAAATAATTTACCCGAGGAAAGCTAGCAAGGACTTGCTCAAAATATCCTAACAATCCGAAAGGAAGACGAAAATTGCAAAATTTTAATCTCACGTCAATTTAATTTTAATTTGGCTCTCAAATCAGGAATCGATATCACAGACTCGTTACGGGGCATGATACGATCTCTGAGATTCACCGAATTGCGGATTGCGTAGGAACCTACTAAATTTTAACACCAATTTAATTTTGTATCACTCCGATTACTGGCCATGTTGGCTTCGTAGAATCTACCATTTCCCTAACACTGAAATTTCGTATCATGAATTCTTTTCTGACGAAAATCTTTGGTGCTTTACGAAGTAGTTCCCAATACATGAACACAAGTGCTTTAGTGAATGTGTTGAATGTATTAGTGTGCTAACCTTGAAGTAATTAAAATGAGAATGTCGTATTGGCATTCCATCACGCGCACAGTCCTTGCCTCCCTTTGTCGGATGGCAACAATACATGTCAAAAGTGTCTTTCGAGGATGAATAGAGTCTCTTTACTGACGCGAAGAATACCGACACATGAATGGTACGGCCTTCAGGATGGCTTACGTGATTGGTCCCCTATAAGCCAGTGTCCTGCCAAATCATCAGAGAAAACACCGCATGTGTGCGCGTTTGTACTTCGACAACTATTTGACGTGCCAGTTTTTTAGTTGGTACTAATTTAGTAGTTTTATAACAATTTAAAGAAAATTAATTTTTTTCTTCTCATTGAGACACATCCCTCTTGCATTCAAGCACACATTTATGTTCGACAAATTGCAAATGAAAGGCAAAATTAACAAAGCATTGACTAAGACAGATTGATATGAAAATACGAGACCCAACTACCAATTTTTAAGGTAAACAATGTTCGATAAATTGATTTTTCGAAGTATTGAAATTATCTTACCTGCCCCCGCAGTGGCATCATGGCTGCCTTCCGATGTCTCCTCCCCAGCTTGCTCGTGGTCGCGATCATGATCGTGATCGTTGTCGTGATCGTGGTCGTGGTCGTGATCGTGATCGTGATCATGTTCATGGGCGTGTTCGTCCTCGAGGTCGTTCGTCGCGCGGACGACGTGCGCGTCGTGTCGCAGATCACCGATCGCGTCCATCGCGTCCATGGAGCCCATGGCGGCGATCGGGTCGATGGTGTCGATGGTCTCCGCAGCGTCCATGGCACCTCCAGGCGCGGGCGAGAGCCCCGCCCCGGGCAGCGGAGGGTCCATGGGCAGCTCCTCGGGCGAGAGCGTGCGCTCGGAGGCGTCGGCGCGCGGGCTGGCGCAGGAGACCTCGCCGT